ATCCCAAATCAAACTTAAATCCTAGTCCTAAATTAATGGACATAATTGTGGTCACCCTGGCTCAAAGTTTGCCGAACATATGATCAGTTAACTTACTTTCATCTGCCGGGGACACCGAGTACATTACGCATAAAATGCAATCTTAAGCTATGAGGATATCTCTTGGCATTATATTTAATTATACAAGTCGTGTTACAAGTTCCATTCTAGCACTGATAGAACGTGTCACCAATGAACATGTAATGGTTGCTATGCATTAACCCTATATTGTGACAACTAGTTCAAACAGTTAAAGAGAATTTGCAAGCTGTTTTTCTCCAGGCATTTCCTGTGATAATCACTCCTAGTGAAAGTGAGGTCAGGTCACCTCAGCTCTTCGAAGAATGACTATCAGGTGAGGTCAGGTCACGACAGCTGTCCCAAGTGGGCTTTGACTAATGACTTTCAGGTGAGGTCAGGTCAAGACAGAAAATGGAGAGAGAAGAATTTAACCCCTTGGTGCCGGGTGACGCCGATCGGCGTGTACACAAAGAGCTCGAAAGCTGGCGTGCAGCCGAACAAGCCGGCGGCGCGCCAAAGCGCGGCGAGCCAGTGATTCGGGCTGATGTCTCCTACTCACGTGCTCAAAGTCGGCGCGCCGCCTTTGTTTGTTTAAGCGTAGAGTTTTTTTTTTTTTTTTTTTTTTTTTTGGTTGTACACCCGGCGCCATTGGGTTGATGAGTGAATATTGTGAAAAGAATAAAATCACAGACGCACTAAATTCGATATAATTGAAACAATATAATTTAATCACAAATTTTTTTTTAAATAGACACTTAATAAATGAACGATTTCATAATGTTTGGCTTCATACTCTATCACACAGTAATGAGGTGTGAGGTAAGAAAATGAGATGAGAGTATGCCATTTTGGTAATTAGCACTTTAACCCAACAAAAAACTAACGTGAGCTAGCTGTACACGGCCTAACACATTTAGGAAAAATAGAAATGAAATGAAAAGAGAAGGGCCCCAAATGTGTACTCACAGTTTCTTAAAGAAATGTTATCTTGCGTTTGCTTGAAGCCGAGCAGTTTTTCTTCGGAGGCTGATTCGGTTGCACGCCGAAAGGGCGCAACGGTCACCGCCTGACACCAGAATGTAAATGGTTATAGATTTGATTGAACCTCTAAACATTGGTAACAGGGAGTAGTAAAAGCTTGAGTGGATTAATCTCTTTATTGAGAAGAGTTCAGCACACGGGTGGATAGACACAACGACAACAAGTCTTGGGTTTAGCGAGAGGTCGCCCAAGGTCACTGGCGAGCTCAGCCCAGAGGGCAGACCGTCCGTGAGGGTCAGTGTGTGACCTCAGGCCTGGCAAAGTACACTCTGTCTACAGTTACACACACACACACACACACACACACACACACACACACACACACACACACACACACATTTTCTTAACCACATGCCACTGGAGAAAATGCTCTGCTTGAATTGGTGGGAAGAACATATTTTTTACTAATTTTTATGAATCTCAATGGTGTTATTTTGATTATGGACATTATAATTACTATGATGTTATAGACAGTAACAGCAGGTAGGCAGTACTCGTAATTGGCTCATTGGTGACTTAGTACAAGTATAGCCATCTATGTGTAAAAACAATTAAGAAAATAAACTCATAGTGGGCATGGCTTATACATACATGCCATTCCCGTTGGATTTGGGTTAATATTTTTGTTTCTATTTCTTAACTCATGTTATTTTGGAGTGCTAAGTGAGAAAAATTCTTTTCAAAATGTATTTTGTCTTTCAGATTTCAAAATACATTACTGTAGACAAGCATAAAAAAAGATTTTCATACATTGATCACTTCACTTTCCCTTTTCTCATAGATTTGCAAATGAAGGATTTATTCCATCTCTCATTTTTGTATTGCTTAAAAATCACTGTTATGCAAAAAATTAGGGTTTCTGTATTAAGTATTCTAAGAGTAAGGAAATTAAATCTGTAATATTAGCAAAAGTATTACCCACAAACCAACACTGAATGTGCAGAATTGGTTATCATATTTTGTTGTATTAGGTTATTTAAACTTCTGATACTGACAGGAAATCTTCTATTTAGTTTTTAATTTATTCAACAGCCAGGCCAACAGAGATACGTGAGAGTGACATATACATTTGTGACAACTTTTTGGATGAGATGAACCAACGTGTTAGTGCACTGCAAAGTGGACTCCGCAAGTTCAAATTATCTTCACTTGTAACTCCTGATGAAGTTTATTTCTTCAGAAAACCGGTTGTTATTCATAAGGTAATATTTGAATATATGTGTATCTTTTGTTTTATTGTTTATGTCCAAGACTTCAAACAAAAGAATATATTTGATTAGAATTATGATATACTGTTTTTTTGTTTTTCTAAGTTTATATGTTCGTAGACTTTCAAATATTTCTTTTGTTTCAGTATGATCCTACAGTGCCATTGGTGAAGAAACAGTCTTTGAGTTATGTAAGTATTGAAAACAAAAATAGTCTTTGATTATATCAAAAGTGTAAATTCTTATCTCATCTTGAAAGTTATTTTCATAAAACCTGATTAGAAAAAAAATTATGAGATATAATTTCATTGTGTTTGAATGGATGTAGTTCTGAACTGCATAATTATTGGGACTAAATTACACAGCAGGTCCCAGAAAAGTGCCAGATGCTATTTCAGATGTAAACTTAGCTTAGCAAATGGTCATTATTAGCATAATTAATTAAGGGTCTAAACCCAATGCTGCAAGAAAAATGTGATTTTCACTGTAGTATTATCTTGTGAATTGTATCTACACATATGTGACCTTAGCTGATTTCCCCCTTTCCAAGATTTTTTTTTTTTTTTTTTCCCTCTCTAATGTTATTGATGATATTATTTGCATTATGATTATTACATTGTTATTAGCTATACTAATAACTCTATGAAATGAAATAGAGTATTTCTGAAAATCAAGGAAAAGAGGAAACAGGCAAGATAGGTTGTGGCCTTTTCTTTGGCGGTCACAGAAGAGCAAACTTTAACTTGAGAACAGCACCAATCCTAATGACTCCCAGAGAAAACATCCTTTTCCTGCCACATGCCTGTCTTTGCAAATGTAAACAAACCAACGTTGTGACTACGAGTTAATTACTATCCTGTTTTTTCATCTTGCTTCTCTATTATCATTAATTTGTTTAGATGCCTTTCAGTATATAACATTTATTCATTCAGATTAATTAATATCTGAAACTGGTCTTTATACATATTCTTTCATATTTACATACATACATGTTCATATGAAGACATGCATACTCACAGATTCAGTGTATCTGTTTGGAAACTATGTGAAACTGATAGTGTGCAATTTCTCAGTTATTACCCCAGGAAGGGAACATAGTTGGGACATTATATTCATTGCGGAGTTGTTGAAACTACTGTATACTTAACCCAATAGTGAGAGGTTGAGAATTTGCTGTCTGGTGGTCCTGGGAAACACAGACAGCCATCCGTGTATCCAGCCTGGACACTCGGTGTGTGTGGCTGGCTGGCTGGCTGGTTAGGCTCTCCTATCCCAAGAAGTTTCAGCATGCTTGGGCAGACCGATTACAGAATATGGTTACATTTTTTCCTTCAGGTTTATGTTTGGAGGTTTATCTTAGCCTTATTATATGGCCCATGAAGGGTGTTACTAACTTATATTGTAGCTTGTTCTCCACTTAACTAGTTTACTGCGTTGTCTTGTGGCTTTGTGGGAGGACATAAATGCTGATTATGAGTACTTCTTAATTTTTCGTTATTGCAAAAAGTAAATAAATACAGAGATAAATAGAAATACATGTATTTACAAGATTGTGAATCTATTTTCCACTGAACAATCAGTGAGCTTCCTAAAGACCTTGGAACTCCATGAAGTCCAGAGTTAGGCATAGCAGACACTGCAAATGCAACATATCACTCCTCTTATTCTGTCTAAGGTGCTGCCTCCATCAGTGTGTAAACCTTAATTGTCATAATCGTAATGAAAATAGATAACTAAGAAGAAAAAGACTTACAGTGATGGGACGTGACAACTAACTACCAGCCACGCCCACTCCTGTGAGAGATGTTGAGTATCAAATGGTTTTCATTAGCTCATGATATTCATTTACTTCAATGCAAGTTTCCTATTTGTCTTTCATATAGCACACTGATTTATAGTTTTGAATGATATTTACTTGAACTTCTTCCATTGTGCATCACTTCTGACCTTGCCTCTGGTGGATCCAGTGACTTGATATTTTGGATTTTGGTAGTCTCAGAGCAAAGTGTAATTATGATGCTACAGATGGTATGAGGTCTTCATTGTCAATATTGTAATGATACATGGCCATAGCCATATCAACTCCAAAACACTATTCAAATGCATTATGAAGCTTCATCTATTCCGAGCTTTGAAAATAAGTACCAACCTTTTGGAATCAATGTTAACCCATTTGCGCCAGGTAAGAATGAACAAGAAATGGGGGAAATGCTGTGCTCATTTTTTATATTTTTTTGTGAAATATCTCTACACTAGATGGCTCTGCCTTACCTGATTTCACCTTTACTTTAATTGGCGGGAAAATGTATTTTTACTAGTGCTATGAATATCGATGGTTATTTTTATTATGAATATTATAAATACTAAAATGTTATAAACTTTAGTAACAGCAAGATAAGATAACGTAAAATATTTTCGTAAATTAAAGAAAGGGTAAATAGGCAAGACAGGCAGTACAAGTACAAATGTATCCATCTATGAGTAAAAACAATTAAACAAGTAAACTCACAGTGGGCACGTCACATATACGTGACACCCGGCACGAATGGGTTAAGCAATCTTTTAATTTTATCTACACCCAAGTAAAGATTTTTTTTAGTAACTGTACACCTATTTGACTTTTGCTTGTTACAAACCTACACATGGCATTTGATAATGACATTATGCATAGATATGATTTCAGTGAATGTCCAAAGACATATTTTATTATTATGAAAAAAAAATAATAATAAATAAAATATATATATATATATATATATATATATATATATATATATATATATATATATATATATATATATATACATATGTATATATATACATATATATATATGTACTCATATACATATATATATGTATATACACATAAATATACATATATATATGTATATACACATAAATATACATATATATACATATACATACACATACATACACATACATACACATGTGCTCATATATACATATATACACATACACCTATTGATTTATGTATATATATGTATATTTATATACATATATATATTCATATGTATATATATTTTATGTATACATAAATATTATATATATATATGCACACATCCTTATATATATAAATATATATATATATATATATTTATCCATATGTACATGCACGTGTGTGTGTGTGTGTATGTGTATGTGTATGTGTTGCTGCTTTGTGGCTCTGCTAGTGCTTAGCCACAAAGGAGTCAATTAGTAGACCTTGTGACCTTACCTGATTTGAATTGGTGGGGAAAACATGTTTTTCACTAGTGCTGTGAATATTGATGGTGTTATTTTTATTATAAACATAATTGCTATAATGTTGTAAACATTAGTAACAGCAAAATAAGATAACACAAAATATTTTTGAAAATCAAAGAAAAGGCTTAATGGGCGAGACAGGCAGCACTTGTAATTGGCTCCTTGGTGACTTAGTACAAGTGTAGCCATCTGTGTGTAAAAATTAAACAAGTAACTCACAGTGGGCATGGCACGTATGTACACATTATGCCCATTGGTATTAGGTTAAGTATATGTGTGTGTGTGTGTGTATGTGTGTATATATATATATATATATATATATATTTATATATATATATAAATATATATGTATGTATATATTTATTTATATATATATGTATATGTATATCACACAGATACATTCATACATACATATATACAGACATACTTGTGTGTGTAAGTTTATATACAGTAAGTCCCCAACTTAAGAACATAATGGGGACCGAGAGGCTGTTTGTAAGTTGATTTGTTTGTATGTCGAAAGTCGGGTCTCCATTACCTTTTTTCCCATTGTTTTAAAGTTCTGTTTACATTAAGAATACCTGTAAATAAATCTCAATAAGTACAACATACCTTATACAGTATCTGTAATATATAATGCTTTTAATATTATTTGATGGTGATTCATACAACCATGGGGGAATATCTGCAGTAAGTCCCCTACTTACAAACATTCTACTTATGAACATTCCATACATACAAAAAAAAAATTTTTAAATGCTTAACCCATTGGTGCCAGGGAAAATGAACAAAAAAAATGGGGAAAATGCTATGCCTACTTTCTATGTTTTTCGTGAAATGTCTGCCGATAGATGGCTCTGCTAGCGCCTGATTTGAAATGGCGGGAAAAAACATATTTTTCACTAGTGCTATGAAAATCGATGGTGTTATTTTTATTATAAACATTATAATTTTTATAATGTTTTTTAACATTAGTAACAGCAAAATAAGATAACGTAAAATATTTCGTAAATCAAAGAAACGGGTAAACAGGCGAGACGGGCGGTGCTCGTAGTTGGCTCATTGGTGATTTAGTACAAGTGTTGCCATCTATGCGTAAAAACAATCAAACAAGTACTCATGGTGGGCATAGCACGTACGTACACGTCATACCCGGCACCAATGGTTAAGTCAAAAAAATTGTTTGAAAGATGCTAGCAAACTTCAAATTTCCCGGGCACGAATATAGTTCACGAGTCTGCCGCGCTCACTCAGCTGTGCGCATCACTCACCTCAGTCGCCTGCCCTCCCGCCATAAACTCGAAAGCATCTATTCACTGTGTCCTCGTGTACTGCCAATTTTTGTGCCATAATTCGCTGTTCCTGTGCATCAATCCATCAAAAATACTTATTGGTATTTATGTACAGGTATTCTTAATGTAAACAAAAAAGGCAATGGAGACACGAACAGCCTCTAGGTCCCTGTTATGTTCGTAAGTTGAGGACTTTCTGTATATATATAGTTTACATATGCATATATATACATACATACAATATATATATGTATTTATATATTAAATATATATACATTTACATACATATGTATATGTATATATATTTATTTATGTAAATATGTATATCTATACATTAACCCAAAGCCACCGGGCATGGCCGACTGTGAGTATACTTTAATAATTGTTTGTACTCATAGAGGGCTCAATTTTTTGTAAGTCATCAATGAGCCAATTATCTCACCTGTTTACCCTTTTCCTTGATTTTCAATAATATTTTATGGTATCTTATATTAGTGTTACTATGTCAGTAACACTGTAGTAATGATTATGTCTATAATAAAAATAACATCATTGATATTTGATAGTGTGAGTACCCAAAAAAGGAAAATGTAAAATAAAATGTTAAATAAAAAGATAAAAATAAAAATTCATAG